CTGTCGCCGCCTTACACGTTTCGGCCGGGGGGGGGGGGGGGTTGAAAATTGCGAGTCTAATCTTACTCACTCCCCATTCTATGTAGGCAAATCTCGGGAGACCAGACAACGTTAATCAACGCCTCAAGGCAGCTGTCATCCTAATGATATGATAGTGAAAGCAAACACATAGAGGTTAGGCCATAATTCTGTCTACAAACCAATACGCATATTAAGTTTGCCTCAAGCGATACCAATCTGTCGACACTTGTGCTCTCGAGAAGTTAACACTCCAGTTCTATTATTTAAGCAGTTAAGAATTCACTGGGTATTGAATAAAGTTGCCTATATTTTACTGCGACCACCCCATCAGCTTCGATGAAATAATCACGCATCTGAGATAAGGTAAGCTTTTAGATACATTACATAATAATTAAAACGCCTAATTTAAAAATTTTTCCGTCATTCCTTTTTCCTAAAAGTTTTAATAACTTAATGTGTTCATCTTGCTAAGCAATCACAACTTTTGTTCCCCTGATGTGCGACCAGTCGCTCCAATGATGAAATTCAGGTCCCGGATCCTTGCATTTTCTAATTTGGCTGGAAACCCACCGCGTGAAAGACTATACTGATGGCTTTGAACTCACTGCTTTTAAATGGTTCACACTGGTTACGAGGTACGAAACACAAAAAACAAGACTGTCACAACAATGATTTTCTTGGAGATTTACCTTGAAACTTTTCGCACTGAAATTTGGCCACAGCATTCGGGAGATTTGTTTTCTGGTTGGTTGTACACCACAACCCACGGACAAGCGATGTCGTTTGGTTGGAACAGTAAACAGCATTCTGATTTTGTTGTCCTGGTCGTCACTGGTTTCAGTCAGCCTGGCCCAGCTTAGCTCTGTAATTTTCGTCTCCTCTGAAATACATTTTGAGAACTTCGTCCATTCTGACATGGCGTGAAGCGCATTTGGTTGCAATGCACTCGTTACGAAGTCAGCCACACTGAGGTGTTCTATCAGTTTGTACTCTCCACCGCCCAACTGAACGAGGTACGTGTGGAGCGGTTTGCTGTTCTTATTTGCGGTGCATTTTGTATTTCGATGCGCCTGTTTTGGTGAGGATACATCAAGCAATGTATGGCTGGAATGTTCTGAATTACAATATGCTTGCTTATACTGCAGGACGGAGTTGAGAAAATTTGTAATGAATGGTGTTTGAGGAGGTCTGAAAGAGGGTGATTGTCGGTCTTGTTCATACTTGTGGAAAGATTCGGAAGGTTTTTGGAGCTTTTTCGACGTAGCGCAAATATCCTCGCAGTTGGATGAAGGAACAGAACGAGGCAAACATGGTTTTGTCAAACCAAGATGGAACGGTGCAACTCTGCTGGCATCTATGGACATTCTAGTAGATTGAGGCTGTAAATCTTTAATCCAGTCGCCTGAAAGAATATTTTGTACCGCGTTAGATTGGTTCATTGTCATCTGAGGAAAGGGTAGATTGTTGTTAATAACTGATTCATTGCATCCCCGTTTTAAAGAACTATATGTCTCTGGTTCGGTGTTAGCGCTATCATCAAACAGTTTGTGTCGACGAGTTTGATTGAGAATTTGCCAGTACGCGGATAGGAAAGGAAAGTTTGGATTGATTGATGAGGTGAAATGTTCCATTGCAAAATGTCTCCTGAAAGCAAATGGATCAGTGGGCAACTGGTGACTAGCACTGATAGGCTCGATATGTGCGCAGGAATGGTGTGTTGCCATCGCATCAGTCAAGGGGTCTAAATCCGTATTTTGAATCGGAATTACATGATCCGAATGTTCATTTGGTGTAATCGTCAACTTTGCAGAAAATGGATTGGAAGATGGGATGTTCAACGGGCAGTTGTGTCCCAAAATTGGGCGAAAGCCGTTTGGTGTATGTTGACTCATGTAGTCTCCGTGCTTTGCACCCACCAACTGAGAGAAATTTTTCCACCAAGTTGCACGCAATTCAGCCTTCTCTGTCAATTCATTTTCAGCTTGAAGATTGAAATCAATATTGTCTCCAAGCCTAACGTGAGGAAAACTCTTCAGCTGGCAGTTTAACGTTGACTCGTTTGCGGTGAACATCAAACTTTTAGATGGCCGAACGAAGTTCCAACTGTGAAGTGATATGAGTTCTAGGAATATAATAAACAGACTCATTTATGAAAGCAACATGAAAATTCACCCTGAGCAAGAGTATGTCTGTGATATTACTCATGAATTTGTACTTTGTTGTTAGGCTCCAAAATATAAACACCGTAACAACAGAACTATTCTTATTTTGCAATGAGTTTCTTCCATTTGCTGAGGGCACCATGATCTTCATTTTTTGAAACTAATTTGGGTAGGCAGGGTCAAACACGGATCCACTTTTGGAACACTTCTTAGCATTTCTAGGGCCTATTTCGCAGCTAATTTTCACACCACATGTTTAGCGGCTTAAGGGGTAAAAAGCTGTTGAATAGAGAAATTAAATAATTCATTGCAGGCAATTTTACACCTTTATTTCCTAACGTATTATAGATGTAACGTTAATCCAAATGAAAAGCTTCAAGGTAAGCTGCAAAGACTGTTCCATATGGAGGTAAAAGAAAATCTTATGTTACAAATACCGATAAACTCTCAAAATCACACATTAGTTACAGTTTTCGTAAGCCATGTAATCTCTTTGAACGTTGCCCACTGAGTCTGATTTTTTACAAAGAATCAACCGTTGCATATCATATGACAAAACGGCTCTCTTTCTGATTATTTTATATTATGGAAAATTAATATCAAAATTCCTTCTGGAGTGTAGAAAAGATTTTAGTATCATTTCACCCGCTGCTTGACTGAACTTGTTTGAGCCGACCTTAATGGTTTGCCACCGTTTTCATCAACTTTTCTAATATCAGTAATGTTACTATAACGTCATGTAAAAAAAGTTCGATAATGCGTCACTAAATTGTTTACCTTCCTATGAATACCAAGTATTTTGCCACAAAATCACTTGAAGTGAAGGAAGCGGACAAACTGGTAAGCACCTGGATATCGTAGTTTTCGCACTGGAAAGATTATTTTGCAGACAGACAGATGATGATCGGCATGATCTGATTACCACACCGGTGTCCGCAGAGCATACAAATCTACTGTACCGATTGGAATGGTACGTCCGTACGCCAATAAAAAAATTCCAGTTGTCAGTGATGGCCGTGGGCAGCGCCAGGCGAACAGTTAGGCCGAAAAATCGTCTGGTCCAGAAGTGAAACGCGGATTACCAGAAAAAAGGACAATTATGTCTGATATCTCTCGATCTGACCTCTTCATCGTCACGTTTACCAGACTGCATCAACTTCGTTAGGCTTCACTGATATACGAGTTATTATTCAGGCTGGATTTTATCAAGATAATGGGCGTAATTCTCCTGTCAGCGGTCTTAACGCAGCACATTCATTTGGTAACTGTCATGTACAAGAGATCAATAACTGTGAGTTTTTCCCCAAAGGTTAGTTCTTCCACGTATTTGTTACCATTTTTTTGCATTTTTCAAAAGCGTGCATAACAGTCTTGAGTAGAGGAAACCTAGGGTGAGCCAAACGCTTGCCAATGAGGGGAGTGGTCTATGTCTAAGATAAATTTCCCTGTTACTAAATCGGTGCGAGATTTCTACATTGCGAGGTAATATTCATAACGGTTAACTAAACCGTGGTAAGTGAATGAGACCCCAGTCTTCCCACAAGGCATGCCAATACGACACTCTTACGGAAAGCTGATGTGCAGCAGGAACCAATGATTGCTGCGCACGCACACAGGTTTCGCTCTTACATTGGTCAATAGTGCATTCTCATGTTTCTGATCAACTGATTAATCACAACGGCACTCCGTGCAGTCCTAACCATGTGGTTCCAGCACATACAGGCAATGGTTTAGGAAGCTTAAATATACTAATATAGTGGGAAAGCTTTGCAGTGAGCTAAACTCGAGAAAAGGCGATTCGTTCCTGTGAAAATCTGGTATAGCTAAAATATCAGGTGCATCTTTAATTTCTCTATTTGTTTATGAATATATGCCAAGTAATGCTGTGACAACAAATCGATAAAATATGCTCATTTGTTAAGTACCTTGCAATTTATAACAAACTCAACTAGATCTTTCATTTACTGTATTCTTCAACTGAACGTGATGAACAAAAGTCAGCCTCATGTTCCAGTTTGCAAGGTGTTTGGGCTATGACAGTATATTGGCTTGACATATGAACTATACCGTTGCTGAAATGTTTTCACGATAACCATCTCCACTGACAAGTCCCCAAAAATAATTGCGTTTGCCTTATTTTTCAACCAGCTTTGTTATTCTCGATGAGAAACTACGCAAAAAATTGCCTAACAGTTCTAAATAGTCTACAATGTGTTTCTTTCCTCTTGAAGATCATCAGACAAGTGAACCGCTAAGAGTTTCCGTTAAGTATACTTTATATCTGAATCCAACTCGGACACAATTTGCCAAATACCTTCATTTGTGAACTATTTTTGTCCCAAAGAAATCTAAGTTGAATCCCTGCTGAATCTTTGCTTTGTGACATTTTTCGATTTTGGTTGGTACGATATATTATCTCTAATAGTCTACCAACACAAACGTTCGGTGGGGGTTATGCAGCAAATTCAGCTAGATAGTATAGTAGACGAGAGAGTTTCAGTAGTTGAATGTATTTCGGAAATTAGATCTCATTTCAGGTTGGTTCTTCTTTGAGTGCGGAAACAACTGTACGCTTGGAAAACTATTGAATTCCTGAGAATTTGGTTTCATACAACCACTTTCTAAGGTCAGCAACAATTTAACGATTCGCTGTCCCGTTTTCGATAACAAACCACAGCAACAGAACGTCGGCCAATTTTGAGATTTCATTAAAAGGGCGGTTACGTTTGCTGTAAATAATTTTCTATCTGGACCTTGCTAAAGACGAGTGACGCAACTTCTTAAATCTTCATCCGGACATTTTGTGAAAGATTACAAATTATTCCTAGTTCTCTATCCAAAACAAACAAAGATTCCACGTGTTATTGTAATTTCTTTGTCAATGCTGCGCTTATTTCGTGCCCACCGACCTGGGTTGGGCCAAAACCTGGACAAATCAAGCCCCGAAACAATGCAATTGATGGGCTGTGTTTTGTGAGAAAACAATCTGAGATCACAAGGTGAACAGTGTCACGACAAAATAAACAGTCGTTGCCAGGAACAAAACTGACGGTACCAAGCAGGCCTCTGCAAAGGCGGAGAAGTGGACTGGATGGGGAAAAATGTGTGTATTCATGGGTAAAACAGACACATTGCTTTAAAGTAAACTTAGCAAGCCTCAGTGAGAGTATTTTTGCTAGTAGTTCATGGTGCTATTGTTTGTGTTAAGCAAAACATTCTCATGGACGAAGATAACTTTTTCAAATTTGAGGCAATTGAGTGTTTCACATTGCAAGAGATCTAAAAAGTTACGCTACCTGTTGACCCAATACCTTTGCCCACCACTGACAACTTTACTAGCATCACCATCTACCTCTGAATAAAACTCAAAAACCCAGTCATGTCAAAATGCTGGTGAGTAGAGAGAGAGAGAGTGAGGAAGAAGTTCGCTCTCATCATCAGCAAATGCAAAATGTACAAACATATTAGATCTTTTATTCTATTTTTGCACCCTGCGAATAACTCTTCTCACCATGCCACAGAAAATGCCCGCAGCTCATCTCAGCCGGACTTACTGAAGTGTCAAACGGTAAGTGGATGTAGAAAGAGAATATTATAAGTCGGCTTGGTCACATCCACTTAAAATTCTGGCGAGTTCACAATGTGCTCTTACGAACTGACATAAATGGGCTCTGAATTGTATATAACGCTTCGACGTACATGAGGATAAAAAAATAATAAGCTGCCTTTGTGGGTAGTTGGTAAAACTAGTGTGAACTGCCTAAAACAAACCTAGTGCAAAAACATTTGTTGACGCAACAACCTGCACTAAGCTATAATGCTGCCTTCAGGTTGTACGGCTTGTACTCCAGTTTAGTAAAGGGAAGTAAATTCTGTCATTTGGCGCTTTATACTGAAGCTCCCAAATCCGACATGCCAAGCGGTTCTTACATATAACTTACTCTGTTGAAGCTAGGACGTCGCCGTAAAGAAAGCTGACATCTCTCACCCTCGACACTTTCTCTGGTCTTACCGGATCTGACGTTTTCCTAAAGGTTCAGCTTAGGACGTCTAACAATCCTGCGCTTGAATCAATTTACTCTGAGCTCCGCTAACATAAAGAATTAGACTATTTATCCCCAGCAAAGATTTCAGATATCACCTTACTCGAGTTTTACGTTGCTTGGTTGCTTTCCCCATGTAATCTTATTTGTACTTAATGCGAAGACACAGGAAAAAATGTGCCATGTCTTTGTTATCTAAACAGCTGAAAACTGTTTTAAAAAAGAAAGCAAAATTTTGCACTACATTAAAATGCACCCGAAATAGATATTTTCTTCACACAAAAAGGTAACTTCCTGCATAAATTGTATCATACAACCGGATCAAGTACTTACTCAAATAATCGAAAAGATTGTGACGAGGATCCTTGACGTAAGCGTAAGCGTGTAAACGGAACAACACCTTCTTCCCCTACCTCGGTTTCTTTGGCGATGCCAACAATCCGGCATTTCACAATTGCCCGTTTTCTGTGACGGACAAACTAGCATCACCCCCATCATCACTATTTTCACAAACGAATGACACGAAAACGCCGACGCTGTTGAGTTGGTGTGTACGTTCTTCTTCACTCCTAGTACGCGGTGGTCGACCAAGCGGTTGTGATCTGTCACACACTATCTGTGATGGTCACGAAATCACCAACTCCATCCCAATTGTGTATGGGTGTAGACTGGAGAGACTGTGGTGTGTATGCGCGCACACACACGCGAACACGACCGCGGATGGGAGCTTATGTACAGCCAATTTACGTAGCAATCGCGGAAAAACGACACGTTGTAACCTGGCCTCTTGCTAGGATTGTCGTACGCACAAAATCTCTGCACCCCATAGCAGGCAATGCTCGCAACAACACAAGACGAGGAATCATT